TTTATTTTGTTATTTTGGGTGGCTGCTTTTTATGTTGAGGTAAAATATCACTAGTACAGCTGGGGTCTTCTCCATTCTGCTCGCATTCGAATATTCTATATCTGTTTAAATGTCTATAGAAGGATCCTTCACTATCGCATGCCACTTAGAAACAGCTTAAGTTGTGCAGGGTTTTGCTTCTGAAAAATCTATTGCTCAGCTGGATAACTTATGTTCGCGAATTTACAGCCAGCACAGTGCTCGAATCAACAGTGCAGTAATCGCAACCGCTTCCAGCTCGATATTTACGAATCGTCCTTTATCGATTTCCAGGCAAGCTAGTTTTTTTTTTTTTTCATCGGAACGCATTTTATTGAGAATAGCACTGATTTCATCTAAACTAACCGCTTTTTTTTTAGAAAATACGTGTACAAGAAACCCAAGGTGAGTTACCACGAGGAAGCGTTCCATTGAGCTTGGATGTTATTGTACGGGGCGAGCTTGTCGAAACAGTACAACCTGGTGATCGATGTGATTTTGTCGGCACGCTGATTGTCATCCCAGACGTGGCTCAGCTAAGCGCACCAGGTTTCTGATAAATTTGCCGTTATTTGTTAGATATTTGAATGCTTTGATTAAAATACTAAGCATTTCTTCCAGCGTGTGATGATTATTTCAGAACTTTCCAATGTAATTCAGGTCTTCGAGCACAAGTAACGAGCGGTAATAGACGTCGCGGCCTGGGCAGTGAGCAGGAAGGAGTGACTGGCTTGAAGGCCTTGGGTGTGCGCGATATGAACTATAAACTGGCATTTTTGGCATGCAACGTTACCTCCTCAATTCCTTCGGTTAAATTTAATGTGCACTTTATCCACGGTCTTAATTTGTGCATTTTTCCCCCAATTTTTTGGCACTGGTTTATGACGAAGTTGCGCTGTTAATTTATGTTACTAAATGAAACTTATTTACATGAAACTCAAAATATATAAAAATAATGAAAAAATTGGCAGAAAATTTGAAAAATTGGAGTTTTGAGCTGAAATTCATTTTTCCCCGTAAAACAGTTTAGAAATTAATTTTTTACAAGAGAGCCTAAAAAGCAGGCTTTTGTGTACACTGTGCTAATTAAACATTTTTATGCGTTTTGTGCTGTGTAACAGCAGTATAAAACGCATTTTGTAACGGGATTGTCTGTGTGTGTGTGTGTGTGTGTGTGTGTCCGCAGTAACTTGTCCGCAACTTTCAACTCGGGAACCAC